TCGATACTTCATTATAATTAGCTATTCATGTCAAGACTGTCTAATGATTGTTCACACCCTTGTCATATATATATTTCGTTCTCACAATTTGTGTGACTTACACTTACTTACTTATTTTTGGTGTGATACCACTTATTGCTTCTCCTGGTGTTTGGAAAATAGAAGTATCATCGCAAACCTATTGGTCTTCTGATTTCCGCCTTCTTGCGTCAGGACTATTAAATTCTCGACCAGTCCATCACAATAATTTAGCGACGAGTACATAACACATCTCATAATGAAATCCTCCATCCAATAAAATTATTATCAGATTATGTTTTTTTTTTTATCATGAATTGTCAAGTCAAGCATAACATGGTTATGGTTAATCTGAATGCTGTTTTGGGATTAAAACTTCTGTGTGGCATCCTGCATATATATATATATAGCTAAGTGTATTAGGAAGCATAATATTTTCTCTTCTTAGAAGTCGGTAGGTTTTACTTTTGCCTAGTGGTGTGTAAAAATCGTTTAAGCTACAGTTGACAGAGTCACTTAATTGACAAGCACTCTGAAATCAATTTTGGAATATTTCGCACTCAGCACCAACAACTGAAATTAAAGTTTTCAGCATTGATGTTTAGTTATTCAGTGCTTTTATATAGGGCGCGTCAAGAAAAAATATTCCTTAAAGGCTTTAAAATTCTATCGACTTTGATCCATTGCAAATGAGAATCGGGTGACGAGAAAGAATTTGCAACAAAAAAAAACTCTGAGATTTGGAAATATTTATGAGGATACCGCCAGATGATATCTTACACAAGGCCCACAAAGAGAACCTGAGCGGAAAACGACAAGTTAGGCGTCTGAGTGTAACATGAAGCAGGTGAGAGCTGTTGAGTGGTCGTGAGGCCAGTTGAAGCTGTGCGTCGGTGGCACAGTGGTTAGGACTCTCGACGACCATGCACATGGTCCGAGGTTCGAGCCCACACCGGCGCACACCAGATATCTATGGTCGGCCTGCAAAATTTGGGCTACCGATATCCATGCTGAAAATTCCATACTTGTACCAAAAATACAGTAAGGAATCAAGCTGTTACCAAAAATAAAAAAAATAAAAAATAAAAGAGAATAGGATGAAGTCGAGAAGTATCGTTGGAAAACTATGTTGCACTCCGAACAAAAGGAAATAATAACAATAATGACAAGCTGTCATTAGGAAGTATTTTTAGTGAATAAGGTCAATACATCAATGATTTATATAATCCATGTGTCTAGGGAAAACTATCAAACTTAGATTTGCCTAAAATTCAATTACAATAACAATAAAGTTGACATGATCAGGCTTTCAAACGAAATTGGCATTTTAAGGAATATCTATCAGATGACCATTAAAACTTGCAGTCTGCCTGCTAGCGTATATAAATTTGACACAATATAGTGATTGGAAAATGCCGTTTTTGAAAAGAATCTTTGAATATTATCGTAGTTATATGTAAAATACTAAAAGCTATTATAGAAATTCTAGATAACGTATAGAACACATATACAACAGAGAAGTGTAGATCATCAACATTTTAAGACGTACTTATAATTCGTCAACATAATACGTCTATGAGACAATTCTGCCTACAGGAAGCTGTCATTAGACACGAAAATATATATGAATCATTCCAGCAGAAAACAAAACATTATTTGAAATTTTCGTAAAAGCATATTGACCACCTACTTGTAGTCACTTGTATGCCACTTAAGAGAAGCAACTCCAAACCTCTCTAAGAATTATTCAGGTGATATCTGATTACGACAGAAGGCTCCGATATCTTTACCGTTCAGGTGGAAGTTGAGAATGTCTCATCCATAAGCATAGATATAAAGTCATAGTCTATAGAACGTGCTATGCAGCCAAGTCCAATTTTAAAAAAGAAACTTAAAACGATGTTTTCCTATACTCCTTTTAATTATTTGGATGATATTTGTGAGATCGAACTCTGCCTATCAATTTGCATGCATTTATGTATGATGAAACACATATAGAGAAGTTTTATTTGCGGTCAAATAAAGATATGAACCCTTTCTACTCTTCGAAATTCATTTGTCTTTACAATAAGCGCCGAGAATTATACTCTAAAGGTGAAACCATGTGTCGTTTGTATGACTAATTTGACCTTTAAATGACCATTTTGATCTAATTTTCAGAAATCGACGGAAGAATCTGAAAGGTGAACTGAATAATCAGTGTGCGTCAGTGGCACAGTGGTTAGGACTCTCGCCGACCATGCACATGGTCCGGGGTTCGAGCCCACACCGGCGCACACCTGATATCTATTGTCGGCCTGCAAAATTTGGGCTACCGATATCCATGCTGAAAATTCCATACTTGTGCCGAAAATACAGTGTGGAATCAAGCTGTAATCAGAAATAAAAAAGAAATTAGATGCGTTGCCCAGGAGATGGCTTTCGTCGCCCAAATGATCTAGAGGTTAACGCTTTGTCGTGTTGTGAAACGATGCGTACTGGTTTTGAGTCTCGGTGTGTACACCATCACTCACTGACTGGGGAATGCAAATACAACCACTGGCTGATGAGTCCCAAATGAGCGTTGTACTGGATTCCAGTGCTAGCCACCAACTTACAGTTGACTTCAAACAGCCACTTAGATTTTAACCTTTCGTACTTTGTAAGCATTTTTATAAACGTGCGTGATAAATAGTTAATTAACGTGATCAGAATGTTAAGGACGTGTTTTACAATTAAAACTTTATCCATTTCAGGTCAATTAAGTTTAGTGATTGTCTTTTCTGAAACTAATGGCTTTAAATAAATGAATATATATATATATATATATAAGTCTAACTCAAGTAATAGTTGGGATATTAAATTCTATCAGATGCGTGCATACGTAGTAATTAGAGTGTGACTTGCAGCTGGTTGGCTACTAGAAACCTCCATAAAGATATTGCTACATTTAATTTGAAGAAATGTTACCTCTTATAATATCATTTACTCCTGTGAGCATTTAAAACATCTATAAGACCTTCTAATTGACCAGTTGTTATTGAAATTGAGAAAGATAATGTTTCTGGGTGGCCGCTGTGTCCTTAGCTCTCAAGATGTACTCATAAACATTTTGTTATTGGCATTCAGCTAAGTGTCGTGCGTTTCTCAAAAAAAGACAAAGAAGAAATATAATAATGAGTTGTTTTTGATTTAGGTCAGACAGCAGTGTGTCACAATATCTACTCTCTGTTAATATTTTAATTGAGATTCTGTACGAAGCGAAATACCATGGAATAAGCTAATCCGACAGTTCTGAAGAGTACACAAACAATGTTTAGAATAAAGCTATTATTAGTAATATATACGGATGGGTAGGAAAACTCAGCTCATGCAACGTTCAGACCTACCTCAAAAGTATGATGGAGGTATGTAGATGAATACACTCACCGCACATTCAGAACAGAGGAAATAAATAGACAGAAATCCGTTAACTTAAGATGAAAGTGTCACTTGAAGACATAATGCTGAGAATGAATCTATGCCTGATTTCCACAGTATTTAAATTCGAGTGGAAATTATACAAACAAATTAAGGGAGTTGCCATGGGGTCACCAATATCCCCGGTTGTGGAAGATATATGAGAAAACATAGCGTTGAAAAGGATGGTGGAGGTATGTAGATGACACATTCAAAGGTGAAGGCCATCGAATTCACTGATGAATTGGAAGGTCAGGAAGGGGAGCTTCCAATGTTAGGTTATAGGTATATATAGGAAATAGGATGGGAAGTTAAAGGCTAGTGTTTACAGGGAACCCTCACATTCAAACAGATAACTGGACTTCAGAGCATCCCATATTATGTCAGTGAAAATAAGACTGGCTAAATGTTTAAGTAATAGAGCACAAAAGCTAAATTGTACCAAGGGAAATCTAAGGCAGGAAGTGAGGCATGTAAAAAAAGCTTTGAAACTTAATAATTTCCCTGATAAATTAATCACAAAGTATGTAGGAAAATGTAAAATTAAATTATTATTAATAGTAGTTACGGTGACAATAATAATATTAATGAGGACATGCACAGAATAGTGAGAGCACTCACAGTTGGGAATTTTAATCAGCAGCACTTTCATACAAAGAAAAAACGTCAGAAACCAGCTTACGGAGAATTCCTAACAATTTAAGAATAAAAGTGTCATTTAAACTAACAAACTCAATTAGAAATAACCTTCGTCGGTTAAAGGATACCGTGAAGGCAATTAAACAAAGAGATTTAGTTTATCTAATAATCCTGATATGATTGTTAATTCAAATACATTGATCAGAGTAGTAGATTGGGATCAGTCAGATTAGCCAAGCATAAAAACCTAGGAAAAATTCTAGGTTATTTGTGAACCAACACTAAGATAAGAAATCTAGACAATAGTTCAGATGTATACCACTAACTACATGCAATCACACACAACCAAAAGGATAAGGTGATAGTTTAAAACTCTAATTTAACAACAGGGTGGAGGAAGAGATTGATAACGGAAGCTTCAAATCGACAGAAAACACGTGTAATAGGAATGAGTTAACACCTGCACGATCGGACATTTTGAAACTTCTACTACCTCTACGTCAAATACGAAGGGATAAAGAAAACTATAAAACTCGGAAGTCGTCTAAATATAATTGATGGAATGATTATGAACAACAAGTTTTGTTTGAGACAATTTCATCCAGTAAATAATAATGTTTCAGTGTCTGTGTGATATATCTTAGAAGCAAATTATTAAGAAACTATTGTTATCGCTAGGTTAATGTCAATACAACTGTACAGCTTGAAAATGAACTCAATTTCGCGTAGATGTATGTTCAACTTTTCTCGATAAGTCTTGATTTTCCTGATTTACATGTGAGGTTATTAATTGACAGTTTACTTTCAATCCGTATATACTCACAGAAAGACCATAATAAATAGACCAACAGTAAAAAATAATGAACACAAAACCCTACATAAACCCTGAAATATCTTCAACTTACATTCATATAGAACAATATTCCATCATTTCATATAATATTAAATGCTTAGATTTCACTCAAATCACTTTATATAGGATTTGATCGTTCACCAGATTGGTTGTTTATCAATGAGAAAATTGTAAATTTGACATTGTATCATTTAACCAATCAAATTCCAATTTATTTTTCTCTAAATATGAATAACCTAACTTTTTTTGGGTAAGTTAAAATAAATTGTAGAATATTTTCGGTTGGATTTTATCTTAAATTAAATGATGAGACAAATAAGGTCATATTGTCAAAATTATTTATCATGGAGGTAGCGAGGGGGGGGATAAATTTCTTTGCAGTGAGAGGAATTTATAATCATTGCTTGAATGGCAAGCCCATTGGCCATTCAGAGACTGGGACAAAGTTAGATAGTATGCGAATTTAAAATCCTGTTGATTCTCGCTACTGTTTTTGGGATCGCATACAAATAACTGATTACAGAGAAAAGTTACCTGTCAATTCCAGTACGAATTCATGACCAGTAAGATCCTGCAAGTTGACTGTAATGAATCGATACTTTCTAATAACCCTGCCGAACAGTGATGCTGTACGCGGCAAATTTATAGAAGGTAGAAATTGTCAGCTGTTGGATCCTTCCTGATAGCCAACTGGTCATCAAGCTCAACTCGTATTCTGAAGGCGATGTGTTCACTCAGCTAACGTTGTTATCAGTGTACTATTGAAGAATGTCAAACCTGGACGTAGTAGCCATCCAGTACCTCCTGGATTTTAGAGGTTCTCAAACTGATATCCATTAAATCTCTGTAAATGAACAGTTGAAATATGATTGTTGACTTGAAAATTTATTATTATATATTATTATTATATCCTTTAATTCCTGGAGGAACATAGGTCTTCAGTTGTGCATCTCCATTACTTTCTGTGTTCTGTCAACTTTTTCACCTCGCTCTAAGTCTGCCAACACGCTTTCATCTCCTCTTCACATCACCTCCTTCAAGTCCCCCCCCCACTGACGACCAACTGGTCGCTCCCTTTTGAGTTCCGCTCGAGCGATAGATTGTCTAGTGATGTCACTAACCTGATGGTTTCCTCAGAGTTTTGCCAATCCATCTCCATTTCTTCCTGCCTATTTGTTGCACAATCGGTTCCTACTGAGTTGGTTCACTCCCAGAGATCCCTGTAGCTGATCTTTTCTGGCCGGCCATCTGATTTTGAGTAGTGAGCGAAGACAACTGTTAAGAAGGTCTGTAGTTTGTTTGAGATGCTCTTTATGATGCGTCAAGTTTCTGATTCGTATAGTGAGTAGCACTGAATTCACATTGGAGTTGAAAATACGGATCTTATTTTGATGATGAGTGATGTTGACCTCCACACAGACTTGAGAGTAACGAACGCCTGTCTTGCTTTTCCGATTCTTGCTTAGATATCCTAATCAGTTCCGTCGGCCTGTAGTTAAAACGATGCTTCCCAGTTAGGCAAAGGAAGTTGTTTCCTTCAGGTTCCTCCTATTCAAGATTATTGTTGTCTGTTGTTGTTGTTGCTGTTGGCCAGGAATCCTCATCACCTCTGTTTTATCTATGTTCACCTGAAGTCCTGACTCCTCCGGATGCTTCTTCTGCCAACTTGTTGCTTTTCATCACTTGCACATCTTCCAGTTTGTGGAAATCAGACATATATCATCGGCGAAGTCCAGATCTTCCAAGAATTTTGTGGGAGTCCATTTTATGCCTGTTTCATCATTGCCCGTTGTCTGTTGCATTATCCAGTCTACAGCAGTCAGAAAAATTATTGGCGATAGTAGACATCCTTGCCTCACTCCTCTCCTCACTTAGAAGGCTTCCGTAAGTTTTCCATTGTAGATTACTTGGCATACAGCATTGTCGTATTACTGTTGGATGAGATGTATAATTGTTGATGGGACCCCGTATTAACGAAGTAGCTGTGAAATCACCTATCGATCGACGCTGCGCTATCGAAGGCATTTTCAAAGTCTATGAAGTTGAGTGAGGTGGAGAGGTGACAGCCATTCCAAACTTTGTTCAATGGTGATCTGTAGAGTGTCGATTTGACCAATATATGACTTGTTTCTCCTGAATCCAGCTTGTTCCGGTCGAAGTTTTTCATTTAGGGCTTGTTTGATTCTTTCCAGTATGATGCGGCCTAGTATTTTACTTGTGATGGACAGGAGCATAATTCCGCGCCAGTTTTTGCATTGAAAATTTAATCTACTCAAAATGAAGGTTTGAATTAAATAAACAGGTCTCTATCTCATCAATGAAACATTGCCTTTGATTTTTTTGACTCATTTTATTAAGGCAGTTATAATATGAACAATTTATGCCATAGATATCTAGAATGTGCACAGAAGAGAGTGGACTAGTTCCATCGTTGATGGATTCCCTTTCATAACGTTGACAAATTTTAAATTATTGTGATATCGTTTTAGTGGATAGTAACTGGCGTAATGATGGCCCCCAAGTCTTTATCAGCTTCATTCAACAACTACATGAAAACGCCACATGTCTGTCTGTCTATCTGGATTCAACATAGAACTTGGCACCGAAGTGCACCAGTTCGAGTTGCCACGTTCCAAATAGCACACAGAGGTAGACAAGAAGATGAGTGAAGAGAATCAATAGAGTTTGACAAGTATAAGAGTGAAACAGAATGGGTAATGGCAGAAAGGAATATGAAAGATTACAGAGACTGAATACATCTGCGCCACTGACAACGATTTTGAGCCATGTCACCTATTGTCTCCACATGTGGGTTGATCATAACCAAAAAACTCAGAGAGGTGTTTGAAGTACACACTAGAGTAAGACAGGGTTACTGCATCTTATCACCGATGATACTTCTAACTGTGTTGGACTAGATCGTGCGTCAGACTGTGCACAGGGAACGAAAGAAAATCAGGAATACACCGGACAGATCAAAAGACTCTAGAATGTCTGGATTTCACGACAGATATCTGTTTAATATCAAACAGGCTTGAAGACTTACAGGCGAACAAACAAGCTGAACAAGCAGCTGACGAAGACAGGACTCCTGGTGAACATAAAGAAGACGGAAGTGATGCTGATAACAAACCAGCAACAATAGCAACTAGTACCAAACACCGTCAGGGGGAGAGATTTAACAGAGGTTACTTCCTCTACCTATCCAGGAAGGATAATTTCAAATACGGGAAGGTGGAAAGGATGAAAATATAAAAGCCAAACGGAGTCGGAAAGGCGGGATGCGCCGTCGTCAATGTGATAACAGTTTGGAAATCTTCTGCACTCAGCCAGCAACGAGAACATGATTCAACACAAGTGTGAAGTCATTCACCTCTTCTACCTTGGTCTAAAACTTGTAGTACGTGTCACGAAAAGGATTTTCTACAAATTATGGACTTTTTCAACAGCTGCCCACTTTGCTGGCTCCATGCTAAAGATCAAATGGCCAGCCGGCCAGAAAGAATTAACAAGAAGAAACTCTGGATGGGAACAAGCCGACTGCCTAACAAATATGTAGAATAAAATGGAGATTGACCCGTATAGACTGAAGAGTCTATCGAATGATATAGGGCCAAATGCAGGCGATCGCTTGAGTGGAATCGTAGTGGGAAGCTACAAATAGGTCGTTTGTGTAAGACTGACGTGAATTTGATCATATGGCGAGAAGGTAATGGTGGAATATGGGCGATCGTGTACGCGGCCGAAGAGGACAGAAAGGAATAGGATAAAGTGGACATGTGATGTTAAAGCTCTGTAATCTAGTGAAATCCAGGATGTACATCACTTCCATTTTCGGACTAACAGGCCGAATATGCCTGCAATTCCCAGTTGGCAACGTGATCTTTCTGAGATTACAACCCAGTATGGATTATTTTAATGCCAGGATGTTATCTATTAGGTCACTTGAGCCATGACAATCATCTCTTGTGCGATGAGTATCAATTAACATTATTCATTTTTAAGTTAAGCTTTGAATTTCTCGCTGACTGTTGTTATCCCTTCTCCTGATACGGATGCCTATACGATGTTCGAAGACTGCCATCATTTTGTTTTGGTAGTGCTGTTTTCGTTGGAGTGATTTACCGTGGAGAATCTCATGAAATATATTTATTTTTATTCCACAATCATGCTTAATCCTCAACAAGTATGGTAGATATGAAGCCCCAAAGTCCAAAAAAATTGTACTGTGAAAGAAACTTATCTCCACTCAATTCAATTTTAAAGATATGATTATTACAAGAATGGTTAACAGCAAAGTTGGTTGGCGTCTATCAGACAACATGTTCTTTTTGGTGCGGTCAAAGGTCAACAGATACCCTTGGCATGTTAAGTTTAACCGTGTACACAAGTTTATATTTATCTGTCAGAGCATTTACATTGGGAGAACAGAAATAGGAACGCACTTAGGATTTTCTGAAGATGTACTGAAACGCCTACGTCTTAAAGGAACAAACGCTTTTAAAAGTATAGCCGCTGGTCATTTAGTTAATAGGAGTCGTAAGGCGAAAACCAAGAGTCTCCTGAAGTTGTCAACAAGCAAAATTGTTCAATTCTTTTGCAAGGTTGTCAAAACAGTCTTTATCAAAGGCCTGTGTCCAGAAAGAAGTAGTTATCTGTCCTTCCTAGCCGTGATAACTAGATATCTTTAGTCTCTCTTTCTCGCTTTCATTTGACAACGTAATCTTTGGATTTCATCCTTACCTCGATTGATATAGTGTAACTATGCCTAAGGCACTCTCTATACTTTGAGTTGCACTCACTATACTTTTACTCATTTTATTAGTCACAAATCATCGTATTCATCACTTGTCTTTATTACGTAACTACTTTTCCATTGTATACATACACTGATCTTTGTTTAAACTTCAACTTTTTGAGTGAAAGCTGTAAAAGTACAAGTTTCTGAGCAGTATACATCACGATTGTAGCCTCCAATAAACTGAAATCGTGTAAAATTTACATGTTGTAATTGTTCTACACATAAATTAAATCATTCTTCTCGGCTGTAGGGAGCTGAAGAGAAGCCAACGAAATAAGCAATGACGAAGTCTCATTATTCTGCACAAACCTCTGTCGTTCTTGTTTTAACCGAATTCATCTAAAAGGGAATTAGTGTATAAATACTTTGATGGGAAACTGATAACTAGTGTGATGTGTCTAGTTCTCACTTTAATGCATACTGAATTCTATTAGTCAAGTTTGCAATATGGCCATCATTTTAGGTGCACATTGATTTGA